TTGAATAAATATAAGTATTTCATCTGCATCACTAAAAAAGATGCCTAAAAAGAGTAATAGGAACACATATCTATGGATACAGTCACTGACATTCTCTAAGTCGGTGAACATGCTTTCAATTTCAGTTTCCCTTCTTGTACTTTTTCTTAAACTTGTAACTTAAGAAAACTTATTAAGTAAAAATTGATTCACTGAAAAAGATCCCAAAATAGTAAAAAGGGACATGTATTTTATATGTAACTTTTCCTTACTGTTATTTGATAAAGCAACTTTCTTTATGTTGCTTTGTTATCATCAAATAGGTGGAGATTGTTGATTCTCTCTCTCATTGATTTGATGATTATCCCTTTTACCTATTATGAAGTATTATATTTTTGTTCCTTTAGTTCCAGCGATCATCATTGAATCTGTTCAGTGATCGCTGAAACATGTATTGTAAATCCTACAGCGACAACGATACTTCAAGAAGACAAAACTCACACCAAAGAACCTTCAGTGAAAGTTGAAGACTGGGACTGAAGATTAGTGACTAGCGCATCCATGATCTAAAGCGGCACTCAGTGATTACAACCTGGTCAACATATGTGTGAAGACTGCCCAAGGCTCCGCGAATGCTCAAGAGACCTTCAGTGTTATTCCAGCATTCAGCGATCAAATGAAGCTTGTTATGCAAGATTGTTTGTCTTGTCCTTCCACACATAGAGGACAAACCCATACCCTTTCTAGAGTATAGTATGGTACGTAGCGGATTAGTCAACTCTATTACCCACCAACTCCCAAAAAGTGTGTCTGCTCATGAATAGGCAATTGTACTATTCACTGTAGCAAAGGACAAGCTTTTCTCCAAAAGCTTGACACGTGTTCAAACCCTTCTGAACTGCATTTAATGCAATGGGTATAAATAGATGAGTGCTCTCTCCATGTAGAGATACGCGAGCATACGCATATACTCTCTCATCTAAAAGAACATTTACGCTTATTTTCAAAACAAGTTAGAATCCTTATCATGTATTCTAAAAGTTCTTACCAAATAAGAACATCTTTCCTTCTTTATCTTTCAGCAAATCTTTTCTATTTTTGCTAAGTATATCTGTGTGTAAACTTAGATTGTTTCAGATAGGTTATCTTTACCTTGTCTATTTTCGCATACAATCTGTAAAAATCTGTATTGATCTTTCTTTATCAATATATATTTTTAAATTATAAAGTTTTCTGTTTTGGTATTCATCCCCCTTTCTACAAACTGTTTCTCTAAAACTCTTATAAACCCTACCGGGACCAACATGCCACAACTAGTTGATATCTGAAGAAGCTTTAGAGAGAAAACAACTATTCTCAATAAGAGGAGAATCCATGTTGATGACGTAAATATTCTCTAGACGAGAACCGGTTAGAGCAACCTTATCATCCTTGTCAAAGACATAGCATGAATTCTCAGAACATTTCACTGTGAAATCTTTATCACATAGTTGACTGATGCTAAGAAGATTATGCTTCAGTTCTTCAACATATGCAACACGCTTGAAAGTGGTTGCACCATTGGTTAATACACCAAAACCTTTGGTATATCCTTTTCCATTTCCTCCAAAGGTCACGGAAAGGCCTCTTTCATCCTTGTAATCAACGAGCATGGATTTGTCTCCAGTCATATGTCGTGAGCATCCATTATCGAGATACCAAAATCCTTTCACTTCCTKCATAAGAGAACAGTTTAAAAATGTTTTAGTGCCCATTTCTTTTTGGGTCCAGTAGTGTTAGAGGAAACATCCACTGAAACTGAAGAATTAGTGTTAACAGAAGGCTTCATTGAACCTGAAGAAGAGGCTTCAGTGGGATTAGGAACAACCTCCGACGCTAAAGGAATAGAGTCAGTGGGTGTCTTCACTGAGCCTGACGAAGAGGCTTCAGCGATAAGAAGAACAACAACACCTAACACTGAAGACTTAAGTCATTAGTTGTCTTCACAGAGCCTGAAGATGAGGACTCAATGTATTTCTTCACCTTAGTTGTTTTTACAACCTTAGTGGCAGATTTTACCTTGGTAGATTTCTCAGCCTTGGCTACTTTCTTACCTTTGGCTGGAGGACCAGCCTTGGATGTAGAAGGACACTTGCTGGCAATATGTGTAGTTTTACCACAATGTCTACACTCCTATAGCTGAAACTAGCTTTAGGGCCATGAAGTACTAGAGAAGAAGAGGGACAAGCTCCAAGGATTCCTTTCTCATTTGTTCTAGGAGGAACAACTGAAGATTTGGAGTCCTTAGGTGAAACATTCACCTTGAGCTTAGATTTAGATTTCTGAGAAGATTCAGATATCTTGATCCATGAGGAAGAAGAAGGTGCACAAGCTGAAGGAATAAATCTAGATCCTTCTTAGGAAGAGGTGCTATGACAATGGACTTACCTTTGTCTTTACGACTTGAACTCAAAGGAGTTTCTTCAATATGACTCTCAGTAAAAGAAGAATGAGAGGAAGAGGTGTAAGAAATAGAAGAGACGAAGGTACCAAACTTGAGCATGAACCTGTCAGTGACACTATCTTTCTGATCATAGGAGAAGACTAGACCAGTCTTAATCTTGGCAGGAATCTGAGCGTTAATGATCTTAGAGGCTTTGACAGAGACTTTGCACCATCCTTCAATGGTAGCCTTTTCAGCCTTGAGTTACGCAATAGCTTGCTCATGCTAAGCTATAGCTTGTTCGCGTTCAATAGTGATGGTCTGGTTTACAATGACCTGATCTTTAAGATCTTTTTCGATCTTAGTCAACTCTTTGATCTTAGAATGACAAATCTTCAACTGTTCTTGAAGATCAAGATTTAGCATTTCTTCTCCAATGTAATTAGTTTATTTTGTTATGTTTCGTATCCTAATCTCGGTGTCAATTGATGTGCAGTTCAGTTGAGATATTCAAAAGATCAGTGATGATCATCTTCCAAGTTAAAATGTTATTGCTATATAATAAGCCTACTGTTAAGATGTGCTTGTTATTGCTAACCAAATAGCAATAGTCAATAAAAATAGAAATTGATAAAACTATCTAACAAAAATATATAGCAATAACAAGCACATGATCTTAACGTTGAATTGTTGAAACACGAAAATAGTGAAGCATATAGAGATAGCAATAGCCAATATCATTGGACCTTGGTGGAGATAAAAAAAAGTTAGAGGGGCAATAAACAATAACATATAATGAATGACCAATTAATTTTTTTATTTTCTTCTCCAATGTAATTAGTTGATATATTTTTGGGCCCTTATTATCTATTAAATTATTTTTCTCTCTTATTATATGCTACAATTTTTTGGTTTCGTTAATTTATTAAATTCTTTTAGACTACTATGTATTTTAAGGAGAAATTTGGGCCCCTGATATTTTTGGGCCCTTGGCGTACGCCCGTGTCGCCCTCCCCCAGGGACGGCCCTGAAAAGATGATCCATTGAGATCCAATAATAATAGGCAATGAATTAAACATATACTATACAAACTCAACACATGATTGTTTGAGCATTTGAATAGAATTTTGTGGTGTGGTGGAATCCCAATGAAAAATACATAAGTCAAACAATTGATTAAAACATTTAAATTCTAATTTTTTTTCTTTTTTTGCTCAATTAAAATAAGATGTTAAGATTAAAAGTTCATGAAACATGACATATACAAGAGACATTACTAAATACATCTAGTAGAAAAAATTTATTGATTAATCACAAAACCATAAAACACGTCATAAATTATAAAAACAATATATTGATTATCAAACAATAGTAAAATATTTTATGCAGAAGCAAAAATAGATAATAATAGTCAACAAAAACAATTAAAACAACATAGCCAAATAGCAATAGCAATAGAAGCAGAAATTAAAAAAAATATCCAACAAAAATATATAGTAATAGCAAGCACATGATCTTAACGTTGAATTGTTGAAGCATGAAAACAGTCAAACATATAGAGATAGCAATAACCAATATCATTGGACCTTGTTAGAGATAAAAAAAATAGAGAGACAATAAACAATAGCATATAATGAATGACCAGTTAATTCTTTTTATTTCTTTTCAAATGTAATTAGTTGATATATTTATGGGCCCCTATTAACTACTAATTTTTTTTGCCTCTTATTATATGCTACAATTTTTTAGGTTTCTTTAATTTATTAAATTCTTTTTAACTACTATTATATTTTAAGGGAAAATTTTGGGCCCTGGGCGTGTGCGCCTGTGCCTCCTCTCCCAGGGATGGCCCTAGGGCTGATGAAAATGAAATGAAATGAAACGTACCCCCAAAGTTACGATGTATTTCATATTGATTCATTTGTTATATTACATAGTGTATTTACGAAAATTTTACTTCAAAATTTACATAATGATACCTAAGTCTCCGTCCAAATCCAATATATCTATGAAACTTACTCCTATTGGGAATTTTAATCGACCTGTTGGGTTTTGATACAATTTTCTAACCTTTTAACGTAGCAGAAAATTTAATAGGCTGGTTATATTAATTTAAAACATTTTAGTCGAATCTAATGATGCGTTTAACTAAAATCACATACCATATGATGCTTATAATTGTACTTTTTCAGAACTGGTGTAGATTTGATGCAGCAGTAAGAATCCAAAATAGAAATCCTCTATCAGTGATCCCACACGAACACACTTATATCTCCCAACAGATGCTAGCCTAAAAATCCTGGATCTATATGTGTATTACATAAAAGGAAATGTTTTTTTATATAATTTCTTAAAGGCTAAATCTAAAGGATTTCAGTCAGTTGACATTGATTTAGCCAAACACCTTATAAATGGTTTGAGTTATAGATAGACTATAATTCAAATAAGTTTTAAAGGTTGTTGTTTGCCTCTTAATCGTTAAGAGACAGGAACTATTTTACATAAAACAAACCAACCTTTTAATGATTACAAAAGCCTCTTAACAATTTTTTGTTTAGGGCTCTACTAAATCGTTCAGATTTAACTTAGTTCCAAGTATGCCTTCCCACCCCTATCTTCCAGCCGCTCTTCTTCACGATCTCCATCGCCTTCCCACGTCTGCTTCCACGATCTCCATCGTTCCTCCTCCATCGTTGGTCGTTGCTTGGTCATCGTCGCTGTGGTATTTCCCTCAATCGTATCTCCATCTCCGCATCTCTCTGTCGTCTCCATCTTCTGTCTCACACATATTCAGGTATTTCCCTCAATCGATCTCCTCTCAAAGTTCCCTCTGTCTCCTAAAGCAGCGGTTGTGTCAATTTTTACGTGTGTGATTTATATCTAGGCAGTGGTTGTGTCAATTTTTACGTGTGTGATTTATATCTAGGCAGTGGTTGTGTATGTGTAGGATCTATGTCAAGCATCTGTGTATGTGTGTGATTACCAACAAAGTGAAAGAAGTTGTAAGTTACCAAACCCTTTCTTCAAATAGGCAGCCTCCTTCACTTCATTAACAATAGGCGTATGGTCCTTCTATATAAAGAACCGGCAACTTTCTTCACTTCCTTCACCTTCAAAATAGTTTCTTCAAATCGATAAATATAAGGTGAAGGAAGTTGTAAGTTATCAAGCCCTTTCTTCAAATTGATAAATATAAAGTGAAGGAAGTTGTAAACTAAACTTTGGAGGCGTGAATTTTACTTAGAACATTCAGAAACTCATATACCAACAAAGTGAAGGAAACTATTTATGGCTTATCTAGTTGGTTGTGTACATGATTTTATTAGTTTATGATTTGATAGAAGGCTTATGGTTGGTAAACTTAATGTGCAACATCTTGTAAAATCATCTTATGTACAACATCTTATGTGCAACATCTTGTAAAATTATCTTATGTACAACATCTTATGTGCGACATCTTCTATGAAACATCTTAACAGTAGGCTTATTATATAGCAATAACAAGCACATGATTTACATACTTGAGTATCCCGTTGTCATTGCATTGAATGTCACCGTATCCTTTATTGGCATCTCCAAGAAAAGCCGATTAGCCAACTCAAGGGTGCCAGTTTTGCAGTAAGCATCAACTAAACTGTTGCAAACCTTAAGTGTCCCACTAAACCCTAGTTTGACGATATGGGAATGCACTTGAGTTACTGCTTTTGTCATCAGCGTCTCATTACAACAAGACAAGAGCGTTGCAAACGTCACATAGTCGGGAACTGTTCCCCACCTACACATTTCAGCATAAAGCTTGAAAGCTCCAATCGGTTGATTGTGTTGTGAATAGCCACCGATTAAGATCGTCCAATAAACCTCCGTCCTAACTGGCATGCCATCAAACAAGTCTCGTGCACGAGAAAGATTGCCTGATTTAACATACCCAGAAATTAAAGTATTTACAGAGTAAGTGTTCCTACGAAGCATTTGGTCGAATAGTTGGTGTGCTTGGGCTACTTGGCCATTGGCCACAAGATCGGTGAGCTTAAAGTTGGAGCGTGATGTCTTTAGGTTGAAGCCTGTTTTGATTATTGTAGCGTCCACAGAATGTGTGACAGTGGTTTTCGTGCACAGTGAATACGAAAGCGGTAAACATCGCCTTTTCGTATTGACGAGTCTCATAGGAAAGACAATCATATGAAATTGTATACCTATGTCCAAGCCACAATATAACTTGGTTTATCAAACTGGAAGAAGTATTTGAAATAGGATTATCGACTGTTAATAGCATCATAAACACATTTGTATTGCAGCCTATACAACATAACATCATGATCATAGAAATTTGAAGCCTTCATAAAGCATCTCATTCACCTGACATTTTATAGCCCCGATGAACGTAAAAACARGATCCACTGCAAGAAACAAGACTTTAAGTTTATTTATCATCAGAAATAGTAGATAATAACAATATACCGTTGCTACAACTTGTGGCGTAACCATGTCATCGCTAAAAAGCGCATTGTCAAAACTCAATTTTCTTGTAGTGACCTCGGTAAATACAAAAAAAAAAAAAATTCAATAAATGTTTTTCATTAGTATAAAATTGAGTACAAGAAATACTAATAATTTACTGAGTAGAGAAATTTTATTTATCTTTATTATAGATATATAAGAGAGTACTTAAATTTACTTACTTCTTATTAGGTAATTTGAAACCAAGAGTATAGAAACTATGGTTGATAATTTTTTTTAAGAAGTAAGAATTTTTTAGTTCAAAACAAGAAATATGTGTTATTTTGATACAAAAAAAGAGAATTCGTGTAAATGAAGTAATCGTGAGGGTCAATGAGAGATCAATAATAAAGAAGATTATCAAGGTTTTCTAGATAGATAGACAAATGAAGATCAATAAGAATATGAATGAAAAGATGCAGGCCCGTTCCTGACATTTTTTAGGTCCTGGGCGAACATAAAAATAGGGGCCCCACTGCAAGAAACAAGGCTTTTAGCAACCACTTTTGTTGTCGCTAAAAGTCCGTTTATCATTAGAAATAGTATATAACATGTCGTCGTTATAACTTGTGACACATGTCATCGCTAAAAGGCGCATCGTCAAATCTCACTTTTCTTGTAGTGACCTTCGGTAAGTAGAAAAAAAAATTCAATAAATGTTTTTCATTAGTATAAAATTGAGTACAAAAAATGCTAATAATTTACAGAGTAAAGAAATTTTATTTATCTTTATTATAGATATATAAGAGTATTTAAATTTACGTACTTCTTATTAGGTAATTTTAAACCAAGAATATATAAACTATGGTTGATAAATTTTTATAAAACGTAAGAACTTTTTACTTTATAACAAGAAATATGTGTTATTTTGATACAAAAAGAGAATTTGTGTTAATGAAATAATTGTGAGGTCAATGAGAGATCAATAATAAAGAAGATTATCAAAGTCTTCTAGACAAGTARACAAATGAAGATCAATAAGAATATGAAAGAAAAGATGATCTATTAAAATCTAGTAAAAATAAATAATGAATTAAAYAYATAATATGCAAGCTCAACAAATGATTGTTTGAACACTTAAATAGAATCTTGTGGTGTAGTGGAATCCCAATGAAAGATACATAAGTCAAGCAATTGATGAAAATATTTAAATTCTATTTCCTTCTTTTTTTGCTCAACTAAAATAAGATCTTAATATTAAAAGTTTATGGAACATGACATATAYAARRGACATTACTAAATACATCTAGTAGAAAAAATTTATTGATTAATCACAAAACCATGAAACACGTCATAAATCATAAGAACAATAGATTAATTGTCTAAAAAAAAGTAAAATATTTTATGTAGAAGCAAAAATAGATAACAATAGTCAACAAAAACAATTAGAACAACATAACCAAATAGCAATAGTCAATAAAAATAGAAATTGATAGAACTATCTAACGTTGAATTGTTGAAGCACGAAAATAGTGAAGCATATAGAGATAGCAATAGCCAATATCATTGGACCTTGGTGGAGATAAAATAAAATTAGAGGGGCAATAAACAATAACATATAATGAATGACCAATTATTTTTTTTTTATTTTCTTCTCCAATGTAATTAGTTGATATATTTTTGGGCCTTTATTATCTATTAAATTATTTTTCTCTCTTATTATATGCTACAATTTTTTGGTTTCGTTAATTTATTAAATTCTTTTAGACTACTATATATTTTAAGAAGAAATTTGGGCCCTTGATATTTTTGGGCCCTGGGCGTACGCCCGTGTCGCCTTCCCCCAGGACGGCCTGAGCTTGATGCGTGTTCCAACCTTTCTGATTTGCATTTAATGCAATGGGTATAAATAACTAAGTGCTCTCTCCATGCAAAGCACGCATACACAGAGATTACACTTCTATCTAAAGAACACATATGCTTATCTTCAAGCAAGTTAGAATTCCTCTCAAGAATTCTAAAGTTCTTACCCAAGGAGAACATCCTCCTGTCTTTATCTTTTCGGCAAATCTTTTCTATTTGCTAAGTTTATTTGTGTGTAATCTTAGATTGTTATAGATATGTTATCTTTACCTTTTCTATTTCCACAAAGAATCTGCAAAAAGTCTGTAGTGATCCTTCTATATCAATATATATTTTTAAATACGAAAGTTTTCTGTGTTTGTATTCATCCCCCCCTTCTACAAACTGTTCGTCTAAAACTCTTGTAGACCCGGCTGGGACCAACAAGTGGTATCAGAGCAATGTTTTCTTCTCGTCTTGTTTAGTTGTTTGTCTGCATTTTATTATCTCTATTTAATTTATTGCTTTTAAAATCTCTTTGCAAAACACAAGCACAAACTTTCACGATAATGGCTCCCTTGTCAAACCTCCCCCGATTTATAAGAGACAACTTTAGTCTCTGAAAAAATCGGATGTCTCTTTTCTAAGAAGGCGTGGATCCTGAGATCCCACATTATATAGAGAATGTACCTTATGTTTGATATGCTATATCTCCGGTTGTTCCTAAAACAGCTACAACTGTCGCGATTCCTGAACGGCAGATTCCTAAGCTCCCTCATCAGTGGAGTGATGAAGACAAGAAGGTGGCTATAGATACTCGAGCGAGATCTGTATAGCCATGTCTTTTCTTGACGAGGTCTATCACTCTGTGATGAAGCTTAGGACCTCGAAAACCATGTGGGACACTCTTTGTGTTCAATATGAAGGTACCTCTCAGGTACAAGAATCGAGGAAGATAAATCTAGTAAGACAATATGAAAGCTTTCTCTGTGGAAAGAATGAAACGTTGTCTGAAGTACATCAAAGATTTAATTATCTTATTGATTTTGAGGACGGTTGCCAGAGAATATTTCAACTCTGAGACTTTAACAAAGTTTCTTGAATGTTTACCAGAATCATGGGATACATATTCCATGTGTCTCAAGATGTCCAACGATATGTCCTCCCTCTCTCTAAGCTCTCGACAACTGAAGAGGAATCTAATCTAGGATTCCAAAGATATGAAAAGCTCTCCGCTAGCTTTGATCTCTAAAGATTCTTTAGTTGAACTCCCATATTCTTCTTCTATTCTTCCTTCTTTTGTTTCTTTAACGAAGTTAGATTCCACTAACTCTGACCGATTTGTCAGAATCTGATCTCGCAGTCTTTGATGAATCATTGGCTCTTCTAACAGTCTCTTAGAAGATTTACCAGAAAAAGTAACTTCTGCAAATCTCCCACACTGACCATTAAGGAAAAGCCAAAGTCAGATACTATTGACAAGACTTCAACGGTCTGCTACAACTGTCAACGCAAAGGTCACTTTGCGAGTTAATGCAGGTTAAAGAAGCTGCGACGCCATCTTCAAAAACCTCATCCTCCTTCAGAGCCAAATACGATAAATATCTGAAGCTGAAGGATAAGTACAAGAAGATGAAGAGTTCTCAGCGAAAGGGCAAAGGTCTTGTTGCTGAAGAACATGATTGGGCTGATTTGTCTGACTAATCATCCTCAGATGAGGAAGATATGACCTACCTCTACTTAATGGCCATGGATGTCAAAGAAGAAACTTATGAGACATCAGCCTCCAGTGATCCCTCATCATCCTCTTTTGCTCAAGTATGTTTCTTGAATGAACCCTCTTCTTATTCTTCTTCTAGCCTATCAGTGTTAGATACGTTGACGGTTGACCTTTATAATGCCCTGAATGGCAAATCAAAAGAAGAAATGCTAAATCTTGATCTTCAAGAACAGTTGAAGATTTGTCATTCTAAGATCAAAGAGTTGACTAAGATCGAAAAAGATCTTAAAGATTAGGTCATTGTAAACCAGACCATCACTATTGAACGCGAACAAGCTATAGCTGAGTATGAGCAAGCTATTGCGAAACTCAAGGCTGAAAAGGCTACCATTGAAGGATGGTGCAAAGTCTTTGTCAAATCCTCTAAGATCATTAACGCTCAGATTCCTGCCAAGATTAAGACTGGTCTAGGCTTCTCCTATGATCATGATCAGGAAGATAGTGTCACTGACAGGTTCATGCTCAAGATCATGTGCTTCAACAATTCAACGTTAAGATCATGTGCTTCAACAATTCAACGTCAAGATCATGTGCTTGTTATTGCTATATATTTTTGTTAGATAGTTTTATCAATTTCTATTTTTATTGACTATTGCTATTTGGTTATGCTGTTCTAATCAATCAACTGTTTAATTCATTGCTTATTATTATTGGATCTCAATGGATCATCTTTAATCTTTTCATTCATATTCTTATTTATCTTCATTTGTCTATCTATCTAGAAAACCTTGATAATCTTCTTTATTATTGATCTCTCATTGACCTTCACGATTACTTCATTTACACGAATTCTCTTTTTTTGTATCAAAATAACACATATTTCTTGTTATGAACTAAAAAATTCTTACTTTTTATAAAAAATTATCAACCATAGTTTCTATACTCTTGGTTTCAAATTACCTAATAAGAAGTACGTAAATTTAAGTACTCTCTTATATATCTATAATAAAGATAAATAAAATTTCTCTACTCAGTAAATTATTAGTATTTCTTGTACTCAATTTTATACTAATGGAAAACATTTATTGAATTTTTTTTTGTATTTACCGAGGTCGCTACAAGAAAAATGAGTTTTGACAATGCGTTTTTTAGCGATGACATGGTTACGCCACAAGTTGTAGCAACGGTATATTGTTATTATCTACTATTTCTGATGATAAATAAACTTAAAGTCTTGTTTCTTGCAGTGGATCYTGTTTTTACGTTCATCGGGGCTATAAAATGTCAGGTGAATGAGATGCTTTATGAAGGCTTCAAATTTCTATGATCATGATGTTATGTTGTATAGGCTGCAATACAAATGTGTTTATGATGCTATTAACAGTCGATAATCCTATTTCAAATACTTCTTCCAGTTTGATAAACCAAGTTATATTGTGACTTGGACATAGGTATACAATTTCATATGATTGTCTTTCCTATGAGACTCGTCAATACGAAAAGGCGATGTTTTCCTCTTTCGTATTCACTGTGCACGAAAACCACTGTCACACATTCTGTGGACGCTACAATAATCAAAACAGGCTTCAACCCCAAGACATCACGCTCCAACTTTAAGCTCAACGATCTTGTGGCCAATGGCCAAGTAGCCCAAGCTCACCAACTGTTCGACCAAATGCGCCGTAGGAACACTTACTCTGTAAATACTTTAATTTCTGGGTATGTTAAATCAGGCAATCTTTCTCGTGCACGAGACTTGTTTGATGGCATGCCCGTTAGGACAGAGGTTTCTTGGACGATCTTAATCGGTGGCTATTCACAACACAATCAACCGATTGGAGCTTTCAAGCTTTATGCTGAAATGTGTAGGTGGGGAACAGTTCCCGACTATGTGACATTTGCAACGCTCTTGTCTTGTTGTAATGAGACGCTGATGACAAAAACAGTAACTCAGGTGCATTCCCATATCGTCAAACTAGGGTTTAGTGGGACACTTAAGGTTTGCAATAGTTTAGTTGATGCTTATTGCAAAACTGGCACCCTTGAGTTGGCTAATCGGCTTTTCTTGGAGATGCCAATAAAGGATACGGTGACATTCAATGCAATGATAACGGGATACTCAAGTGATGGGTTGAACAATCAAGCAATAAACCTCTTCATAGAAATGCAAGGTTCGGGTATAATGCCATCCGAGTTCACTTTTGCAGCAGTCATATGTGCCAGTATGGGGCTGAACGACGTTTCTCTTGGCCATCAATTCCATACACTTGTTATCAAAGGCAACCTCTTTTGGAGCGTATTCGTGTCCAATGCCTTTCTTGACTTTTACTCGAAACACAATTGTATTCATGATGCGAAAAGACTCTTTGATGAGATGCCGTTGCGGGATTGTGTATCTTACAATGTGATCATCACTGGATTTGTTTGGGCTGGAAAAGTGAAAGAATCTCTAGATATCTTCCATGAATTACAATCGACTAGCTTCAACAGGAAACAGTTTCCTTTTGCAACAATGCTGAGCCTAGCAGCAACCGAACTTAATCTAAAAATTGGCAGGCAAATACATGCTCAGGCCATGGTGACAGAGGCCGATTCAGATATTCTAGTCGGCAATGCCCTGGTGGACATGTATGCAAGATGCGACAGTTTTGAGGAAGCTAAAGCGATCTTTGCAAGCCTCCCTGATAGAAGCGCAGTTCCATGGACTGCTATAATCTCGGCATACGTTCAAAAAGGGTTTTACGATGAAGCTCTTCAGTTTTTCAAGAAAATGCGTCAAGATTATGTTTATGGGGACCAAGCAACTTTCGCGAGCACCTTAAGAGCTTCTGCGAATCTGACATCTCTTTCTCTAGGGAAACAGTTGCACTCTGCCATGGTCGCATTAGGTTGTATCTCCAATGTTTTCTGTGGCAGCTCTCTTGTGGACATGTATGCAAAATGTGGGCACATAAAAGAAGCAATACAAGCCTTCAAAGAAATGCCTGTTAGGAATATAGTCTCATGGAATGCAATGATATCGGCTTATGCACAAGATGGGGATGGCGAAGCCACACTAAGGACCTCTGAGGAGTTGGTCAAGTCGGGTCTCCAACCAGATTCAGTGAGCTTTCTTGGCATTCTAACTGCTTGTAGCCATCGTGGGCTTGTTGAACAAGGACTTGCTCACTTCAAGTCCATGACTCAAAGACACAGACTCACTATCAAAAGAGAACATTACACATCCATGGTTGATCTGTTGTGCAGATGTGGACAATTTGGGGAAGCGGAAAGATTAATGAATGAAATGCCATTTGAGCCTGATGAAATCATGTTGTCTTCGGTTATGAGATCGTGTAGGGTTCACAAGAATCAAGATTTTGCCAAAATGGCTGCAGATGCTCTATTCAGGATGGAGATTCTCAGGGATGCAGCTCCATATGTCAACATGTCTAATATATATGCAGAAGCAGGACAATGGGAAGATGTTAGTAAGGTCAAGAAGGCAATGAAGGATAGGGGAGTTAAGAAGGTAACTGCATACAGTTGGGTTGAAGTGAACCACCATGTTCATGTTTTTACTGCAAATGATAGAACTCATCCTCAAATTGAGGATATTAGGATGAAGATTGATGTTTTGGGGAGGAAGATGGAAGAGGAAGGATACAAGCCGGATACAAGTGTCATCCTTCAAAATGTGAATGAGGAAGTTAAAGTAGAATCGCTTAAATATCATAGTGAGCGGCTGGCAATTGCTTTTGCACTCATGAGGGCACCAGAAGGGTCACCGATTGTAGTGATGAAGAACTTGCGAGCTTGCGTGGACTGTCATGCTGCAATCAAGGTGATTTCGAAAATTGTTGGGAGGGATATCGTAGTTAGGGACTCGAGCAGGTTCCACCGGTTTAGAAATGGATGTTGTTCATGTGGGGATTATTGGTGAGTGGTGCGACGTAAACCACTTTCTTTTCTCTCTTAATTGGCTTGGTTCAACTTAAAACTCCATTTTTTATCAAGGAATCAGATGAACGATTAGGTCACCAGGCAAAGAGAGAAGAAAGAAAAAGGATTGCATGTTAACAAACACGAAAAGTAAAATCCGGTCCTGGTATTTTACAGAAGATCAGTGGCGGTATGTTTCTCTGTTTGTTTGGCTCTGAATGGTGACGTCCAGAGCTGATATCTGTATTGATCAGATGAGATTGTTGTTTGGTAAACCTTTGAGCTGGTCTGAATAATTCCAATAGCCTCTGAATTGCCCAATTTCTAGGGTGAAGCCATATTATTCAGAACCGTCCTATTCCATGATTACCCATGCTGCTGCTCCATCTTGTCTCTCCTGTCAACCTTGATCTGCAGGTCTGAAAATTGAATCTTCTTTGTCTTATGCGTTTGTTGATTGTGTTATTTGAATCCTGATTGGGTTCTTTTGTTTGTTGATGGATCTTGGTTCCTTTCTCCCACAAATGAGTAACAATATAATAGTGTACTAGGAGGGTTCTTGTGTAGGCTTCTGTCCTAGAGATGCATTGATTGGGTTGTCACGACTGTTGTAGGTATCTTTTTGTTTAGTAATGATTTCAGTTGGGTTTGCGTTAGATTTCAAAAAAACCCAGGAAAGTGATTGATTTTGTTATGTTTCGTATCCTAATCTCGGTGTCAATTGATGTGCAGTTCAGTTGAGATATTCAAAAGATCAGTGATGATCATCTTCCAAGTTAAAAATTTCTCAAGAACACGGCAATTTACCTTGATCAAACTTCTAGTCAGGCTTGGCTGATGTCAATTCTGTTTCATCGAGGTAATAATTTAATCTTGAGTATCATAAAGTACCCAAGCTCAACAATCAAATATGATTTAGAGTGAGAATTGCAACTCTTGTTAATGTCATGCCTTGGCCTTGGGACATATAGTACCATCAGGCATTAATACATCACACTTTTCATGCATAATAATGAATACATATTAGATAAAAGGAGGATAGTTTTGAATTTTTTTTTCCTTTAATATTATTGTAACCAATTTTGTAGTTGGTTACCCTGTTGATTAGTGGGACTACTCAGGGGTATACATATGGGAGCATATGTATGTGTATTTCATTCAATTCAATTCACAATTTCTTCTCCCCGTCTCTTCTCCAAATTCTCTCTTCTGGTAATATTGTCATAGCTGGCTATTAGGTACAGAAATGATAATAGTTTGCTTCTATAGCATTGTAAAGTAAGTTTTATAGCTCGTGGTCAACATGATCCTTGTGTTGTCCCAAGAGCATTATCCTTGTATATTACTCCCTTTGTCCCAAAATAAATGTCCACAATGACAAAGGTACACAATTTTAGAAATGTGTAATTGTTACATATTTTTAATGAACTAAATGACAATTGTATCTTTAATAATAGAGAGGTAATAAATTTCTTCATCTTATGATTACGTGTACATTTGGAAAGTAGATACTTTGGGGCGGAGGAAGTAATATACAAGGACAAAATAAAATGGAAATTTGGACACTTATTTTGGGACGGAGGTAGAAGTTTTTCTTTTTCTCCTCCTAGTAGGCTTTCAAAATCTAGGCTCGTGTCAAAAATTGAATCAGATACAATCCTAAAATTGGATAATAAAACGAGTCTTCCCTAAATACCATCTTCATTCGACAAATATATCCATATCTTTCGGGAATAAGTGAACTCATTTCATTTTGAGAACCCATATACTGGTTTGTCATCTATGTTTCCATGTCTGGTTTACCTTTGACGGGTGATTTTGCAGCTGTGCCCATGGTTAAAACTTAAAAGAATGGTAGCATTGATGCTCGTTCATAAGTTAATGACACAATACACAGTGTCAACTATTTCCCATCAATCCGGGGTTCCACAAACTGCACTTCCTAAAGCGCCTCCAAGAACTCGATCATTATATGCTTTAATTACCCTCGGACAAAAGGTAAGTTTTTTACCATATTCAAAAGCATAAATAGTTATTTTTGATCGTTGGTTTGATTGGTTGATGAAGAACTCAAGTTTCGTTTCCAATCAGTTGGGTTTGCTGTGGAAATTTTAAGACTTTTCATGCAGAATACTGAATACTTACCAAATAGCCATTTTTCATCATGCATTACAGAGCATCTTAATACTTATGACCGTTTAATCATTTTTGTACTAAATCATTAAGCATCTGCCACGCAGTTGGTATTCACTAATGAAGAAAGTTCATTAAGCTTGTGGTTCAGATTGTGTTTGATCTGATGGAAAATCTCCCTTAACTCGATACGCATACTACAACCGATGTTTCCATCATTTTTGAGACACCATCTTTTTCATTCTTACAACCAATGTTTCAATCAATTTTTGGCACACACCCTTCTTTATCTTTTCCATTGATGAACAATCGTCTGTAATTATTGAAAAGTACTTTAGACATTTGATTGTAATTAATTTGTATGTATGTGTTGTGTGCAAGCGATTGAACAGTATAAAATGACTCAGAAAATAAGATTAACATGAGAAGCATTAAACATAATTTAAAGCGTTAAATGGGCCTTTTACCAAACATTAATGGGTCATTTACCAAACACTAATGTACGGTTTATCAAACATTAATGGACCGTTTACAAAACACTAATTGGGTGAGCATGGCAGGACAAATAATCTTATCCGGTACAAGGCAAGACAAGGGTCGAAAATGTTACCCAAATAAGTGAGGGTGGTGACTTTTACCTAGTAGGTGTTTACCTGACTAACGTTGCTAAACGACCCCTAAATCATGGAAATTGTCCTGTCGTTCAAGGTTTGTTTTGATTTTTGTTCATTTAGTACAAGAATAAAAAATAAAAACTCTAGCATACAAGTTTTATTCGCTTTTTGTCCCTCTCCCTCTAGCTTCGTCTATCCTCTTTGATTAAGTATGAGGACAAAATTGTCATTGTAAGGGGGAAAACAAAATTCTAGTTCCTCTCTTTCTCTTCTCATTCCCCCTCAACCGCTCGCGACACTAGACCTATATCATGTGTTTTTGCTCTTACTTTGTCTCAGTCATGGTGCTGATTGATGGATGTGTGTTAAGGGGAGAGTTCGTAGTGAGAGAGAGAGAGAGAGAGACGATAGGAATTTTTAGGGTTTTTGATCTTTTTTTAAAAGGTTTTAAAACAATCTAATGTAGATGTATGTCGTTGAATACACGGTTTTTTGTATTTTTCATTTAAAATACATGAATTTAGTATTTGTTGTTCGGATTTGTGGCAATTGGTGGTGGTGGGTAGTTGTGGTCGTTGGTTTAATGGCGGTGGATACATTTTTGGAGGTTCAAATTGAAAAAAATAATGCATCTTGGTCATGTATTAATCAGAATGTTGTTGAAAAAGATGGATGCCAAGTCTATACAATTTTGCAAAATGTCAAGGAATGTAATAAAAAGAAAGAGGTCAAGGTAAAACCAATAATGACATTTGCGTTATTTAAATTGTTCATTTACATAATCTTACTTTTGTTCATTGATACTTGTTTCAGGTTGTTTGGAACGAGTTTGATTCAACATTCAATTGTGATTGCAGTCATTTTGTCAACAAGAAATTTTATGTAATCTTACAGAACGAGGATTTTGATGAGATTCCGAAGAAATATATATATATATATATATATATATATATATATATATATCTTGTTGGAGAAGAGACTTGATAAGTTTTGGTTTTAGCCAGAGACTTGAATGTTGAAGTTGCAAGAATTAGTTATGATACACAGGCTTCATTGGAATGTATTTTGATGAGTCAAAAGAAGGACAAATACAAGCTTAAAGAGGTCGTAGAAAATATTCATATGTGAAAGTTGAATTAGAGGATAATTTTCCACATCAATCCAATTTGGACAAGAAGAATAAAACTATTAGGAATCTTCTTGGTGTCAATCAACCAGAGAAATTTTATATTCATCCACCATCTGTCATTTCCAACAATGGTTGTGGAACTTGAAAACGTTTGATTGCGGAAGAGGAGAAAACAACGAAAAAGAAAACAAAAAAACAAATCGATTGTGTAAAAGATCTAGGAAAATTGACTATTACGACTCTCACAATTTCCCATTCGAAGAATGTAGATGAAGGAATACATTTCTATAGGCTTTTGCGTTTTGAATTCAATAGTTACACTTTACAATAGTTCTGTCACAAATTAATGCAAGAAGTGTAGTTTTTTTCTGCAGCAATGTGCATTACTAATTCATTTGTGAATATCTAATGAATTCAAATGTGAACAAGAAACCAAAATAAGTGAATCCATATGTGAATCTACTATTTCATTTCTGAACCTGTTAAATAGTTCGTATGTGAAGGTTGAATTAGAGGATAATTCTGCATATCAATCCAATTTGGACAAGAATAATGAAACTATTAGGAATCTTCTTGGTGTCAATCAACCAGAGAAATTTTATATTCATCCACCATCTGGCATTTCCAACAATGGTTGTGGAACTTGAAAACGTTTGATTGGGGTAGAGGAGAAAACAACGAAAAAGAAAACAAAAAAACAAAGTGATTGTGTAAAAGATCTACGAAAATTGACTATTACGACTCTCACAATTGCCCATTCGAATAATGTAGATGAATAGATACATTTCTATAGGCTTTTGTGTTTTGAATTCAATAGTTACTACAATTGTTTTGTCACAAATTAATGCAAGAAGTGTAGTTTTTTTTCTGCAGCAATGTGTGTAGTCCAAGATTCATACAAAATGATATTAATCTTCAGGAACAAGATGAATGAAAGAATTGAAAGAATAGATCACCAAATGTAATTGATTTGATTGAGAGAGAAAATTACAGCTCTAATCTGATTACAATTTGCTAATGACTTGATAATGACAATTACAAGGAAAATACTATTTATACTAAGAAAATAGTAAAACTACATTATTACAAAGACAAGTAAACTAAGGAGAAACTTGAATACAACAATAAAGCTCTTATTCAAACCCAACATTCTCCCCCTTTGGATTCAAGTTTGGACTCTTGTAAATTTTGTCTTTCTAAGTCCAAGAATTTTCTCTAATCTCCTTAGAGCATTCCTGTATTGAATCTTTTCCTCGAGCATATTTATAGCATTGATCAACAGATATCTTTCTTTGGAACTCATCCTCTCTGATTCTGCAGCTCTATCATTGTTTACCCTTTTCAAGTCAAGCGCCCTTCTTACCAACCTTATCGTACCATCTGAATATTTGTTCAACTCACTGAATCTCATGAATTTCTTCACTTGAAGCTGAGCAAAATATATGACCCTAAACTCTGGCTTTTCAAGAATCATGTAGACATGATATGCATCAATATCTTCTAAGTCTTGATTTGGTCTTTTCAGGTTGATGATTCTTTGATTGTCTTCGAGACCCATTTGAACATCTATGACCATAGCCAGCTTCACATGACATCGCATAAATCTTTTAATAGCATCAAGAGCAATCAGAGCTCCCTCCTTCCTGTTTGTCATGTTTCTGATTTCGAAGTACATATACTCTAGATCTTCCAAATATAAGCTTGAAAAATCAGCTTCACTGAATCTCCAGATCTGTCCATCCTGTCTAGTCACAGTAAAYACAGRATACCAGATTCTCARAAGCTTTTGAGCATCAATCTGCTTGATCGTGACAACCCGATRCTTRGTACGAACTTCACTTATAGGTAGGCGCTTGGCTTTCAAAAGGTGTTTGTATTCTAAGCGATAGTCTTTGGTCTGCCGATGAATACCAAGGACTTTATCACCGCTCAGAACTTTTCGATGACAGATAAAAATTCCAAAGTAGATATCTTCTAAGTATGGCTCTCAGATTCTTTCTCTATCGTAACCTAGAAAATTCGCTCTGATGTGAAATGGCACATAGTGCTTGGTGAAGATTTATGTAGGATCAACATGTTCTCTTGGAGCAGGGATGTCTGATACACCAGGTACATCTGCAGTGGAAGATTCTGGAATAGTCTGACGGTCATCTTGAATAGGAAAAACTGGATCTTCATCATTTATATCAGCTTCAAAATCAAAGTAAATCCCAGWTGACTCGTCAATGTTATCAATGTCCTCTCCAAAATCTTGCTCTCCACCCAGAGTAGTAGAGAACACATCATTGAAACCTACATTGGCAGACAAGTCCACTAACAACCTTGTTCCTACTGTGGAGTCCGCCGATTTTTCAACCATTGGCTCGATCATAGGACTTGTCTCCATTTCTTCTTCATCTTCTATCACAATGGCCTCAATTATTCTTTCCTGAACAGATTCCGGGACAGAAGCTTCAGCAATTACATCTTGAGTAGATGGCTCATCTCCAACCCTTGCAGCTTGTTTAGATGTCTCAGCCAATCTCTATCTCTTCCTCTCCCCCTCATGACTATCTGGATCATCCGGATCGTCATGCCTTCTTTTATGAGAGATGGCCTGAGATCTGCAAGTTTCTTYCAAAGTAGACACCCGTTCAACAAGGGCATCCATTGAACTTTTAAGATCTTGGGTTTTGGATGTGATTAACTTGCTAACTTTKGAGAAGCTAGAAGTAACCACATTTTGAAAAGMCAAAAACTCTGAGGCTCGAACRAAWGGGTTAAYRTCCAGTTGTTGTCTTAAGAGGCCARYCAAGTCTGCATCTTCAGCGTCGGGAGTTTGAGATGCCATCAATTTTGCATAYAKCARCGATTTAAGTTCATCCACYRTTTGTTCTTGTACTGACGGCTCAGGTACATGTGGTGGTGATGGCGCAGATGGTGGCTCTTCTTCTACCGTTTCTTTCCCCTTCAGAAGTCTTTTTAGACTTGCCATTTGTGCATCCATATTTTCTTGAACAACCTTTAGGGCGCCGTCCATATATTCCCTTGACACAAAGTCTGGTAAGCTCACACCTGGATCACTTAGATTACCAGTTGAAACAACAGTTGAATAAACTGTTGTGCCTACGTTCAATGTTGGCATGATATTAGCATTGATAGGACTTCCGACCTGTCCTTGTAAAATGTCAAATGACACCAACTCCGGTCGTTCCGGCAAGTTCACTAAGAACTGCACTTGGAGCAACAGATGCTCTAGACTCATGTGTACCTATGTGTATCGGCTCTAGACTCAAGGTGCACAGAATCGATGTCGTAGGCTGGGGCAGCGGCCTACTTGTTTCAATAACTACATTCTCCAAATGAGAAGTAGTTAGCAGATGTGCTCTATCCCCGTGTTCAATTGAAACTACTGGTTGTTGAGAACCAGTTGAGTGGATGGGTGGGGTATGTATTTGCATAACTGGGCTAGCTATGTCTTGTTCAATACCAACATTCAACGAATGAATGTCAGTAGCAGATGTGGGTGCTCGGCTATGTGTTTCAGCTAGGGAAGGAGCTTGATACTCTTTTTGTGCTCCACTCACACCCTCTCCATATTCTTCTATGTCCCTTTCACTCAATCTCTCAACATTTTCAACTGCAACTCCCTCATCTCCTTCTTCGTTAGAAAGATCTTGAAGAATACGGTCATAA